AGCTGGCTGGGGAATTCTGGGAGTTGAAGTCCACCCATCTGAAAGCTGTCAAGGTTGAGAAACACTGCTCTAGTGAGGTTGAAAGAGCTGGAAGCCACTGAGCAGCAGAACATGGTTTTTCTTGGGAACAGAGGGCATCTCTGTGGCATCATTTTACAGAAAAAGTTGGGATGCATTTGCACCACCCCAACCGTTGCACCGAGAATTGCTGCGTGGGCCATGTCCTGTCCCCTTGGTCCTGGAGCCGTACTTCACCTTTGCATCTCACCGTCTTCTGAAACCTGCCGTGACTTCCAAAGCACTCTGGATTTCGTTCCTGCATAAAGCAGGAAGGGGTGGGATGCCAAGGCCCACCTTGGAGATTGGTGGAGTTTTACAGCACTGATTCAAATAGTCCACTTTGAAGAAGGTTTAACTCCCGTTTCCATCTTGCTCTAAGAGCTGGGATTTAAGACGCCTTGGCATTCAGTTTCGGGGTGAGATAAAAGGAACCTATCAGTCCTACGTGGACTGGGAGGGGGATAAATCTCCAAAAACACACCTTCACAGTCCCCCACCACTAGCTAGGTGAGTCAATTCCAGGGAAGATTGTGAAGAACTCAAATTGCACCCGTAAAACCCTCCAACAGAAAACAGAAGTGGTGGTTTGCCTCCCCATCCACCACCCCAAGGACAAAGAGGAACTAGACGCTTCTTCTCAATCACTTACCTCCTCCGGAAGGGCAAATTTATTCTTCTTCATCACTTTGTACATATACTCTGGAACAGGTAGAAAAAAGGAAATGGTAGAGAGTTATTCCTGGAATTACACATCATATCCAGGTAGGCTGGACTTCAACTCCCTTAATTCCTCTGGTTCTGTTGGGAGCCACGATGTGGTAGGAGGAGAGCACCAGGTTGGAGAAGACAGAAGCTGCAATTTAGGTTCAACTGCTTCCTTCATTGGTCATCCATTCTTCCTCTACTTTGCAGCATATACTTTATTAGATACTGAGACAGAACCAAAGTCCTCTAGCTCCTTTCTGAAATGGTAGCAATAGGATTCACCATGGGGCCTGGGGAGGCTCAGAGGTCTTCTTCCCCCATTGCACTTAATTGGGGGGGGGGTGTTGTGTGAGAAACCAAGAAGAGAGTGACCCAGTCAAGAAGTTGAACCCCAAAGAGGCTCTGTGTCATGCACAGGATGTAACTAATTCTACTCAGTCTTGGAGGGACACCTGAACCTGGTCAATTGTCCTGCCTTGCCTTCCTAGTCTTGCATGAAGAATAGAATCTCAGCATCTGGCAAGGCTCAGCAGCAGAGATGGTGACTTGCTACAGCAGTCAAGCCACACCTAGCGTGGCCTCCTAGACACCCAGGAAGCAGCTAGTAATGGACAATGGCCAGGAGTTTTCTTGCAGAAGGTGGGTGGAGACCGTATTCCTCAAACAGTGGTTTTGACCCAGTTAGTGTGGCCATTTGCCACCAGAACCACCAATATGGAAGTTTGGTGCAGTTACATGTGTCATGGGAAAAATCCAGGCTTAAGCTTAAAGGAAAGTGAAAAAGAAACATCAGGAATACAGAAGGTTTTAAACTCAGTCAGAACTGCTGGGTTTGGTGAAATAGAAAATCCAGAGATAGAAGAATGACTTTAGCAATTTTAAGCAGAAGTTTGATCAATGTCTAAAATCACAACTTCCTGAAATTTGGGGATGGGATTTGGAAGGATAGGAATTCATTTTGGTTCTCACTTGGGGAGGGGGCGTGTGCTGGGTTTTCTCTTGGAAGCTGCAGGTGTGCACTGGAGCACTTACCATCATGGCCCCATGACATCAGGACATTTTCCAAGCCACAGTGGGGCTGATAAATCCCATACTTGGTTCTGAGGAGGTAAAAAGGGAGAACGTCTGATCTGCCAAATTCTTTGGTTTGGAAGCTTTAGCAAGAGGGAAGAAGTGAGAACAACCAGTATTTTCTCTGGCGTTTTGAAGAAAGCGACAAGGATCTGGAGCATCAAATACAGGTGGGACATCAGGCACTGACCAAGCCTTTGGTATTGTCCTCTATGCCTCTGGTTGCAAAGGAGAAGTGATGGGGCCAGGTTATAGGTCCAGGGAGAAGCAGCGGGAGGGGCAATCCCTAGCAGCCCTCAGCACATGAAGTTCTTCCATCAGAGATGGAGAGGCAGCGGTGGAAGCAGGACCAGGGAGACTAGGATCCAAACTGCTGCTGACCTCGGCTTTGCAAGCCCTACATTTTAGACCTGTGTATCCTCCCACCGGTGGCCTCCCCTTGCTACAAAGCAAGGCCAGGTGGGTGCAGAAGCAAGAGCTTACGTATACAGAGGATTCCTCGTGTCGGGGTTGTCATGGAAGGTGGAGTCCTTGAAGATGATGGAGTCCTGGAGCTTGCAACCCACTGGAAAGGTGTCTCCCACAACAGCCCACTGTAGGAATAACCAAGGTAGAACAGAACAGAACAGAACAGAATAGAACAGAACAAGAACACACCACTTCAGTTCCTCTTTATTTGATAGCATCGTTTCTTGGCCCGAACCCCTTTTTCAACCCTCAGCCTTGGCAAGTGGGCAGTAAACACACCATTTACTTGTATTCCTTAATGTGTGAGGATTAGAGATGCTGAGCCTTTAGGTATTTCACAAATCCACGGGCATAATCCTCATTTTTCTGCCCCATAATGCAAACACTGGGCATTGGGTAGCAGGACTTGGGAAGGTTGACCCCTCCTGTGCCCTTTGCTCTTCGTCTCACCTGCGGTTCACCAGCCAGGGCCAAAATCTTCCCCAAATCATGGAGCAGTCCAACCAGGTGGAACCAATCTAGGGCAGGACCAGAGAAAGCGAATGTCTGTTTCTGTCCCTTGCCAGGTCCCTCTGTCCCCAGCTGGCGCATCAGCTTAGAGGCAGTGCAACATGGAACCTGTTGATGCAAGGATCAGAGAGGGGCCTAGCTATGTGGCAGGCCTGGGGGGTGGGGGGAAGGGGGCTGCACGCAGAAAGGCCCAGATGTGAGCATTGTCCTCTCCTGGTGATAACAAGAGGTGCCGATGGCCTGCTGGAAAACATCCCTTTTCTGCTTGAGGCCTCAGTGCCCCCAGAGCACCCCCTGCCATGCTAGATGGGGAATTATGGGAGAGGGGCTCCATCATCTCTGGGAACACTGCTTCGTGCACAGCTGTATTAGATACGGCCTGACATCAGAATAGCCTAGTTTGACGCTTCTAATTCTGCAGGACTCTGAATAGCCTCCTGCAATTGTCATCTTCTGCACCCAGGTGGAAGTGGAGGGAGCCTCTTGTCCCTCTTGGAAATATAGGTCCAGTCAGGGGCTCACCTTTCTCAGGGTGTTTCTCCCGAATGCCCTCTGCTGTCTGGTAGGCATGGTAGGAGTTGGGGAAGTCAACATCTGGGTCCGATTCATCCACCACATTGTCCAGCAACTCCAGGGCCTCCATGATGGTCATCTGACGGAGGTTGCAGCCACCGTATTCTTCATTCTAGGGAGAGGGAACTGTGAGGACACTATTATTGACCAGAGGTAGGGCAACCCCTTGGAATTATTTAGACAAATCTTACAAGTAAGGTCTTAAGAAGACCCAGCCATTTCAGACTAGCTAAGTAGGAAACCCAGTAGGTATAGAGGGAAAATTGGGGGGGGGGGCAGGGGGTAACAGACTTTGATGGGCCTCTTGCTGGCAACCCTTGGAAACCAATAGAACCCCAAAGAACTGGAGATACACCTGGCTTGGCACCAATATCCCCTGGATGTGTTGAGCCTTCCTCGGACACCCTTCCAGAGGAGAGATGGGGTCTGCTGGGGCAAACCCACCTTCTTCTGCACAAATTCCACTGTCTGGTTGGTGTGCATAAGCAGGTAAGTGTGGTGCACTCGGTCGATCAGCGGCCCCTCCTGAAAAGACAGTCCGGGAGTCCTCTTTGGAAGCATTGCAGCAGTGAGTGACAATGATTGATGTAAGGT